ATAGCCTTTGAATAATTTCGAACTTGAAATCCTTGGTACGGCCTTAAAGATGACAACTCCAAAGCAGCACAAGTCTCAAGATCTACTTACTAATCACAACCTTGCTTGTTAAGAAGCTTAAAAGCCTCAATAATCCTGATAACCAACGTTTTTTGTCAAATACCAATTAGCATTTAGCTTTAGTGGTATAAACATTTTTCCGATAAATTGTGGATACCTCTTCAAGTGTTCATAATGTCTTACTCACTCCAGCGCTATAAAAGTCGGCGTTAAGTCTATACCGGTGGAAATATAACAATGCCACTCCTCAAAGAAGCACCCCGAAAGTCGTAAGAGAGCTAATGGAAGGTAACACGCAGACTTCCTTTAAACGATGTCAGCAAAAATTAACCAGCACCCCCTGTGCGAGGCTGGAATTGCCGTCATCCGATGAGGATGAAATCTTAAACAAGTTCCGGCGCTAACTCTTTGTTCTATTAATTAAATATTCTCATTCTTCCAGCGCGGGAAACTTCGTCGGGAAGGCGCGGGAAACTTTATTCTCACCCACCCAACTTAGTCTCACCCTCACCGTCTTTTCTTTTCCCGCTCAGCTGTCGGGATGCATTGTATTTAGCTGCAGTATGCAGTATAAATTAGATAATATGTTTACTTGGGTGGGTGGGAGAGTGTAAATCAAATTTCCATCTATAGCCGTAAAATACAGGGTGATCCAAAAATAAGATAACATACATTTTAGATTTTTAAATGGAAACCCCATTTTTTATTTTTAGATTTTCCATTAAGTTTTCAGTAACTTTTGTATAATAAACTTTATACCTATCTTCAATCGCTGTGAAGCTATTTGAGTTTATAATAAAATTCGACTGACTGACTTAATACTGATAATAATGTACGGCAATAAAAATAATGATCATGGATACCAGCAAGAACATTTAGCATCAGTTATGATAATATTGAACAATGTGTCTCGTTCCAAAATCACGTAACCTTTTATTTTACTATTTTGATCACTTACCAGTAATTCGAATTTGTCTTTATTGATTATAGAATACCGATTCCTAGGCCAAACCCTTTTAAATGATTTTCTTTTGGCAAATTTCATAGATACCTGATTGTATTGGGTGGGCCATTTAAAAGTTTCGATTTAAAAATAAAATAAAACAAAAACGGTTTGAGATATTGCCAAATTTATTTTTTTGTTTTGAAGTACAATTGTTCCGCTCAGAAATGAAATATTACTTCATTCAAATGGCTGCCGCGGCTGGCCTCACAGTAGCCCATTCGATCGGACCAATTTTCGAGCACTTTTTCGAGTGTTTGGGGCCGTATCTCGTCAATGGCATCACGAATGTTGGCCTTCAAATGGTCAATTGTCTCTGGATGGTCGACATAACACTTGTCTTTAACAGCGCCCCACAGGAAATAGTCCAATGGTGTCAAATCGCAGCTTCTTGGCGGCCAATTGACATCGCCATTTCGACTGATTAAACGGCCATCGAAGGTTTCGCGCAATAAGTTGATTGTGGCATGCGATGTGTGACAAGTTGCACCATCCTGCTGAAACCAAACATTCTCCACATCAATACCATCAAGAGCAGGAACAAAAAAATCAGTTATCATGGTGCGATAGGTGTTTCCATTGACAGAAACGGTTGCGCCGTCCCCGTCTTCAAAGAAATATGGGCCAATGATGCCTCCGCTCCACAATCCACACCAAACAGTCACTCGCAAGGGATGCATTGGCTTCTCTAAGACCTCGTGTGGGTTTTCCGAGCCCCAGATACGGCAATTTTGCTTATTGACGTAGCCACCAATATGAAAATGAGCTTCGTCTGAAAAGATTATTTTTTTCGCAAAATCGACATCATTGATTAGTTGCTCGTTGGCCCATGTAGCGAAGGCAGAACGAAGTGGATGGTCACGCGGCTTCAACTCTTGAACCAATTGAACTTTGTAAGGCGTCATACCGAGATCTTTCCGCAAAATTCGTCGTAAACTGGTGCGGGAAATGTTCAATTCTTGGGAACGATGACGTGTTGACGTTGATGGATTTTCACGCACACTCGCAGCCACAGCATCGATACCTTCGGGTGTACGCACTGTACGAGCACGCTGACGTGTTGGAGCATCAACAATGAAACCAGTTTCACGCACTTTATTAATAAACTTGCGTATACCGGGCGCTGTTGGTGCTTCGTTGCGACCGAATTTTGAACGGCATTTTCGTGCAATTTCTGCCCAATTGTCTTTGTTTTGGAAATAAATTTCCAATATTACCCAACGTTGCTCAAGCGTAAATCGATTCATTTCGTTCAGCGGAGATAATATACTGAATTTTATGACAAATCAGATTGACATAAGTATTGTCAGCGTCAAATTAACACGTGGTTCAAATCGAAACCGATAGATGGCCCACCCATTATAATTTCACGCGTATTATATCTTCCTTTCTAAGCGACTCGGTATTGTGTTGGAACCTTTTAGACTCTAATGTTATAGTATTATTAACGGCTACCTCAGAAACTTCCTCATAAAATATTGTTGGTCCCTCGTAGAGAGTTCGTTCTGCCCATGGACAACCAGAGCGCCACCTTGTGATCTCTACACGTACTAGCCGTATCATGCATATTTGCTTTCCTACCAAGACACCTTCTTTGCCTACCGAGATACCTTTTTTACCCATCGAGATACCTTCTTTTCCTATGAAGATATCTTGTTTCAAAAAATTGTGTCTACAGGCGGGGAGTGCCATTTTGCTTTTGCTTTTCGTTGTGGTTTGGTTGTGTGTTGTTTCGTTAACTTCCAGATTCTGGGATATTAACGCACCAAACACCAGTTCATGGAGTAGTACCCTTTTATTTTGTACCTTACGTGTAGTTGTTTTGGTTTGGGTGCTACTCCGTCCATTTTCTTATGGGATTCTAATCTTCAGCGGTAAGTTTTTCTTTTTTCTTATGCCATCGGACCACGTTAGTGCATATCCTTTAGAAGTTTGTTCAATAACTGCTTCCTTTTAATGCGAAGGCATTGCGGAGAACTACCATTCACAATCCACTATGTTTTGTAGCCGCCTTGAAGCTATTTCGCAGCCATCCCTTCTCTTGACAAAAAAAAACCCAGTTGTGAACAGGTAAAACAGCATTTTAATTGGGTATTTTATAACTATTAATATATTGATTATTGCTGACTGAAATTCTTAGAGTGTTCTTGATTTTGTTTGGCATTTTTCGTATTCAAATATAGGTCAGTGTCTACATGTCACCTCCTTTACGGCTTACCACATTACATTGATCATGATTTTGATTTTTGAGCTGCCATAATTTTGAAACAAGGGATAAATTTCTGAGGGTATGTCACTTTAGTACATTTTTATCTTTTCTGGCCTTTACTTTTCTTGTAAAATAGAATGTACATGTTTTTTTTCAAATTCGAGTGTTTAAATGAGTAGTTTTGTCTCAGACAGAGAATAGAGAGTAGATGTTTAAGCAGTCCTTCTCTCTCTAGGTTTTTTTATACCTCAATTTTTGGAAAACGGGGTAAGCAGCCCCGACCTTGTGACGTTCCTCACGTCACTGCCCACTGCTGGCAACTGGTTTTTGGCCTGAGCGTTTGTGAGCTGAAGACATCTCAGCTGCGCCTAGCCGTAACTGGAAGAAGACCACTGTCCAGATCTGTTTAAATATTTGTAAAGCCTTCGTACCTATACCCATTTCTCGAATTAGTGGATCGGCGAACGAGGCCCCAACGAGTGGCCGTCGAGATCTCTGGACCTAAGTCCTTCTTTGGGGGCATTTGAAAAATAAAGTTTTTGGTACGAAGCCAGATTCCATTCACGATCTTCGTCAGCGGATTACGACTGAATGCAGACAAATAACTCAAGACATGAGTCTGGAGAATAGATTCGAACAAAATCTTTATTATTGCACGGAGGTAAATGGACACCACTTTCAGCACTTGACACATTGTCCTAACTTTTTATAGCAAATTAATTTTTACGTCAAATTTAACGTGTGTGTAAGTTGTTTGCTTGTTTTTGTGGTACGACCTTTTTGCTGGGCCACCATGTATGTATAGTAAACTTGTATTCTTAATAACTTATTATTGTTGCTTGATAAAGCACAGGCGTGAGAAATACTGAGTCAACCTACTATTTTTTTAACAGTTAATGAACCCGTATTTCTTGATGGAACAAAGGCCGAGATATTATACACAACCTAAATCCCTAGATGTTGTTGCCATGTTGATATTTTGGCGAGTGTTTTTAAAATAAGGGTATTGATTTAGAAACTTCCATGAGAAAGCCGTCATCTGGAGAGACACGGATTTTTTAATTGAAAAAGGAACTGGGGTAAGGGAAGAAGTAATGACTTGACACTTCACAACCCTTTACAAGCAGATCTGTGTAAATTTTTTTGTTTGACAAGGGGGCAGTCACTTCCAGCACTTTTCCGCGTTTCCGCTTTCGAACAAAATTTAATAGCAGCTCATTTCTGCTTGACGTGCCAACAGCGAAACATCTACAACCGAAGTTGATGCTTGAATATCGAATTTTAATTATTATTTATTCAACGTACTGTTATTTATTTCTCAGGAACTTGATAAACCCATTTAAGTACATGTCTAACTGACCGTATCTCCCCTTTGCTGCGTAGATCCCTTATCAGGGATAACACAGACCGAACAATTTTGGGATAAGGCATGTCCAAGGGTTACTGTAGAGGATTAATGGATGCTCTATCATCTGACTATCTGTATTTTTGGAGATCTTGAAGTTGAGTCGAAAAATAAAAGTTAGTAAACATCACCCGGTACGTAGCAGTGTTTACTTGTTTGCAGTCAGTAGGCAGGAGGTCGTTTCAAGTTCTCCTGAAGATGAATGAAATTACCACATACATCTAAAAAATCATGCAATTCAAAAACTCAATCAACCTGCCTTAATAGCTAGATAAAAACTAAAGTGATCGGAATTCCTAAATGTTTATGTTTTGTGCTCAGTATTACCATATAAAATGTAATAGTATAGAGAAATGAATATGCAATATGATATGGAATGACAATACCTCACATCTGCTTACGGCTTCCAGGAATCTTACCTGAAACAAAGAAAATATCATTACTGAGATTGAAATACCTACACGTTATTCTAGTTTGGAAAGCTTGTGGAACATATCTTATTCGCCGAAACTCATTTCTCGTTACGTCAGGCCTTTTGTCATGCCTATGCAACTAGCTCACAAGTGTAGCAATAACTCCCGCTTTCGAAAAGCTCCAGACTTATGATTTTTTTGTATATATGTAGTTATTATGGACTAGAACGTGAATATTGACTAATGCTAATAAACAGTAAAGTATACTAAGTGACATATAAATCCGAACGCCCAGTTTAAATGGTTTTATTTTAATAAAAGTTGGTGAATGTATTTATCTTACTGTAAATAACAAGTGAAAAAATTTTCAGCCCTATCAGTTGGACATTCCGGTTTTATACTGCTTTTTTTTAATTCACTAACGCTCTAAAAATGAATATTTCAGCCGCAGTAAAAAATTAACGTTGGCGGATTTTGGTTCTTGACATCCTTTACGATTGGTTACGATGCCTAGAGTACGGAGACCTGTACGATTTCGTCAACTTAGTGAGTTTGATAGGGACCGTATAGTGGGACTTCGGGAAGCTGGACCTTTTTTTCGGGCAATTGCAGTTAGAGTGCAAAGAAGTGTAGGCGCTGTGGTTAGGTGTTGTCACTCATGGCTTCGAGAAGGCCGTACGCAAAGAGCAAGGGGCACTGGACGCCGCCGTAGAACAACAGACCGTGAAGATCGCCGCCTAAGATTATTGGCCTTAAGGGACCGTTTCTCCACTACCAGGTCCATTGCAAATGAATGGTTTGCAGAACACGGAAGACCTATTGGCATGCGAAGTGTTTACCGACGAATGAGAAGTTTTGGCTTGTTTTCATACCGGCCACACTGGGTCCTCCCTTTAACTCGAGAATACCGACGTAATCGCCTTGAGTGGTGCAGACAACGATCACTCTGGGATCAGGAATGGAAAAGTATTATCTTTAGTGACGAGTCTCGATTTTGTTTAGGCATGCACGATGGTCGTGCCAGGGTTAGAAGGCGACGTGGTGAAAGGAGGAATCCACAGTTTTTTGTTGAAATACATGTTCATCACACCGTTGGAGTTATGGTTTGGGGTGCTATAGCTTATGGTTCCAGGTCACCTTTAATCTTCATCAGAGGTAACATGAACGCGCAGCGTTATATCCACGAAGTTCTAGAACCCTATCTTCTACCCTATCTTGATACCCTGGCAGATCCAACTTTCCAACAAGATAATGCCCGACCACATGTTGCAAGAGTCACAATAGACTTCTTTCAACATAATGATGTCACATTGTTACCATGGCCACCAAGATCTCCCGACTTATCCCCAATTGAGCACGTGTGGCATATGATAGGTAGGAGATTGCTCAATATGCAACGTCCTCCTCAGACTCTGAAAGCACTTCGAGAGGAGTTGGCGGTTGCCTGGAATGAGATACCACAGGAGGACATTGACAAGCAGTGCAATCATTTTGAAATTTTTATCATTTACTTATTATGCTTCATTAAGTACTTATACAAAATTTTATTAAAATAAAACCATTTAAACTGGGTGTGCGGATTTATATGTCACTTAGTATACATGGTTTGTACAGCGAAATACTGTAACTGTCATAAAATGCTACAGCTATTGAAGTTGTCAAGTTTAGTAGGGAACGCCTTCAGCCAGATTTTTCCATAACTTGATACCCCGTGGATAAAGCAGTGTTTGTACTGACAAAGGGTGATCGCTTATTTGAGCTCCAGATCATTGCATTACCAGTCAATGACAAACTTGTCATTCATCAGGGAGGCAGTCACTTTTTCTTTTCGCGGAGATCAGTCTGGTGCTCTTTATTCCTATATGCAAAGTGCTGTCTTCCAAAAGGTAGCAGATCGTCACTTATATAAAAAATACAAAATAAATGTCAGCGTTTATATGTAGCAGTTATATTATAGCCTTACTCAAATGTCTTCTTTCGTACGTTCTAGAACTCCAAGTTTCATCGATAGCGTACTCATCCTCCACACAAGCTGCACGAAGGCTTCATTTAATTGCCCTTCTCGTGTGCAGTCTCCAGATTTAATTGAAACTGATAATTATCAGTCACCTGCCACGTCAGCCTATCTCCGCCTCCGACCTATAATCCTCAGCAGCCCTCTACTGCTTGGCATCTTCACGCCTTCCGCACGGGAATTACGTATCTTAAAAAGCGACATTTTGTCGGACTTTTTTACTTTTTTTTAGGTTTTTTAGATAACACCCCTACTTGTAGTTTAACGGGGCTTATTGTAGCTCTAGACCAGTGGTCGCCAACCTTTTCAACGTGTTGAGCTACTTTGATAATTCTGGAATAAACAGAGCTACCTAGTCGTAAGCAATGAAAGTCAACTTAAAAGAAATTATACTCAGTTGTGTGCGACGTAAATAATAATGAACTTAAATAAAATAATTACTAATACATACTACATAACCAAATGCGTGTTCAATGAGAAGCCTGACACTAAGACTCACTGACAATTTTTTTAATGTTTGGAGTATAATTTGATACCGCTATTCGAATACAATTATAAAAATGTTCATCTGTAAGTCGTTTACGGTATTTCTTTTTCCTAAACTTCATCATTGAAAAAGAGGATTCACACAAATCGGTTGAATTAAATAACGCTTTCACTTTCAAAGCAACACGACATAAAACTGAATATTAATCTGTACTTACTGAAGGCCAGATACATTCTGTATTTGAGACTAATGATTTTAGAGCTAAATCATTTTGAAACGGAATCACTTCCGTTTCTGTCGCTGCGATGTCTTCGCTAAAATTCTGCGTAACAGAAGTTGCGAACTGCTGGATATCAATTTCCATGAAAGGTGAAACAACAAATTGCGCCACTATAGGAATTTCGTTGAAATCCTTGAAACGATTTTTGAAGTTATCCTTCAAGTTAGAGACTATTTCTACATGATGCAATGGACTTTGAGGTATCTTTTCTGAAGGAACAGGAAAATGCCTGGTATTGCCATCGATTAAGTTTTGTTTTGTTCTAAAAACTCGAGTTTTTTGATAAGCGCTTTTATATCAGAAATTTCTGCTAGTTATTTGCCTCTCTCCTGAAGCTGCAAATTAAGTTCATTTAATTTTTCTGTAATATCCACAAGAAAATCAAACTCTCTGAGCCGGATTGAATTTTCCAGTTCCGGAATCGGTTCATCACTATGGCAGATATCATTAAAATGTTACAGAATTCGTCCCCTACTTAACCATCGGACTTCAGAGTGAAGAAGTAGCATTGACAATCAATTTCATCGGCCACTGAACAATCTTCTTTGTAACGCTTGAGCTCAAATCTTGTTCACAATTTTTACTACCAATTTCAAAACGTTGTTTGCTGATGGATAATGCAGTGGTAACAGAGAAATTGCGGAAAACTTTCCTCTTTACGAGACCCTGTCACGACCCACCATAGCTGGAGCGCCATCGGTTGTCGAGCCTACCATCTTCGATATTGGAATTTTCTCAAAAGTAATAATATGTTTAGAAGAAGAAAACAAGTCGTGGCCAGCAGTCTGTCCTTTTAGTGGAATAAACTTCAGAGGATCTCCTTTAATCGTAAAATCACTAAAAACCATCCTGACGAACACTGTCATCTGAGAGGTGTCAACGACATCGGTGGATTCATGCAGCAGTAGTGAAAAATAAGCACAGTTATCGAAGTCATTTCTTAATTGTAAAACTATTTCATTACTCTTACTCGTCTCATCACTGTATTAGCAGAAAGTTGCATAGATTTTATAACAGGCACTATCTCGTCTTTATTTCTAAAGTTGGCAAATAATGAATCCGCAGCTTCTAAAAACGCCTGTTTTATAATTTCCCCGTCTTCATAAGCTTTCTTCTTTTGTGTAATTATCTGGGACACCTGGGATGATGCTTCTGTTGCAGCCTTACTTTTGTCGATTGTTTTTAAAAACATAGTCGGTTGTCCAATAAACTGATTTTTTTACTGTTTACTACTACTACTCATATTGTTCATCCAAAGTCTGCAGAATGACAAAGTTACCATGCAAAACTGACTCGTTGCCAGAAGGTGAATTTTACAACGCAAAATAAATGTTTTAATGAAAGTTAAATTAACTTAAAATGTTCGTTCAGAAAATAAACTGTCTTTTGTTAATTTGAAAAGCAGTATACAATTTTTGTTTGTCATTTTAAAAAAAATAGTTCAGCTTTGCTAAATTGTCGCCTTATTTCTTGGAGTAGCAGTTAAACGGCTAATTTAAATTGTAACTTACGACAGAAAGTTAATGCCTTGAATTAGAAACCGTAATTTTACATATAATAATAATAATAATACTTATTACCCTCATTAAACAGTATATACAAAGTTTACAAACAAAAAAAAGCCTTAAGAGAATAAAGAGCTACATCAGCTTGCCCCTTAAAGAAGCAGCTGCTAGAGCCAAAAAAAAAAGAAATTTAAACAATTCTATAGTAATACAAATGGCTATTAAGACATTGATAATCAATAATGTTTTAATATTAAGAAATATAGCCATTAATAGTAAGTACAGAAATGGAAATTTAGAGTGAGAAGGGAAAGCGAGGGGAAAGAGAAGAAAAGAAAAGGGGGAGCAGGAGATGTGTTTTCTATGATATCTGAGATAGTAAATCACTTTTAAGGTTCCTCTCAAATGTAGCTACCGAGAGAGAAAAATCTTTAATTTTGAATTTATTTACCAAAAGGCAATTTGATATGAGAATGATTTCTTAAATGATTCTTTATGTGTGATGGTATTGTAATCAAATTCAATCTTCTAATGTTTAGATTATGTATATCAGTCCGGTAACTAATTTTTAAGTGAAGATATGGGAGGCTTTCATATTTTATAATCTTGTAAAGAAGGAAGTAGAGTGCAAGGTACGCCTCTGAGCCATATTCAACCATCCCAGTTCAGGTAGTTTGTGCTATACTCTTTGTCTACCGCTTATGCCAAATATCAGTCTCAGACAAGAATCACACTATCAAGGAATGGGCCATATACCATATCAGAAAAGTTGAAGTGGGACGACACTAAAGCTTCGCAGAGCGTGGCTTTAGTATTTTGTGATAGGTAATGTCTATGGGTGTAAATTACTTTTAGCATTGAATATGCTTTTATTAGACATAGAGTAATGAGCTCTCTAAACTTAAGTTTAGAGTCAACCACTAAGCCCAAATCCTTCACGGAATCCCTAAATGATATATTGTCCCCTAGCTTGAGCTTAATATTGTTTTCTAATACGTTTCTGTAGGAATCACTACAAAACAATATAGCCGTCGATTTACTAGGGTTTATCTTTAACAGGTTTTGAGAAGGCTATTCAAGTCGGTATTCAGTCGGTCCAAAAGAGGCATAAATTTGAGTGTGGTCAGCGTAAAGATGATATTGACAATAACTTAGCGACTTCATGAAATTAAAAGTATATAGGCTATACAATAATGGACCCAAAATACTGCCCTGGGGCACCCCTGATGTAATTGTAACTGTATCCCGTCCAAAGTCACGCGCTGCATCCTTTCAGTTAAAAAAGAATTTATTAATGCATAGGTCGGCTGCTTTAATCCAATATATTTCAGAATAGCCACTAGTATCTCATGATTAATCATGTCAAATGCTTTCGTGTAGTCCAATAACACCAAGACAGTAGCATTTCCCGCATCCTGTTCTCTGATGATATCATCCACAAGATCTGTTAATGCTGTGGAACAACTGTACCCGGTTGTCTCCTGGACGTATGATTATCTTTTGCGCTCGTTATTATATGATTATCTTTCTAGGGTTAAATAAGGGTTGTAGTTTCAACTATTCTTGACGCTTACTTCCTGTTTTCTCTCTACGGCAGTGCTTCGCCACCAGCCCACTCGCGGAGATTGCTCCATAAATAAGAACTGTAATTTCAACCATTTTTGAGGTTCTAGATGGCTTTAGACGCTTATTTCCTATGTTAAAAGGGGATTTCTCAGTGCCACCGCTGCTGGCTCTACCGCCGGCTTGTCGCCTCCACACCACCGTTCACAGCCAGTTCGCGGAGATTCCTCCATAAATAAGGGCTGTAATTGATCGGCTGCCGGAGGCGATGCGCGCAAGAGAGACGATAACTGAGGTGAAGGAACATTTGATAGTGCCAGCGCGTTCTTGGTAATGTTATGTTTGAGGAACATAGGAAAGCATTTGTTATATACAGTCTCCACTCAAAAAGGATATTGCTTCAGACACAGACCATTTTTAAATCGTGGCCAGCACTTTTTTGCTACCCATTACATCGGACTATAAAGCCCAAAATTAGGTGTTGAGCTTTTGTGGTTATGTGTCGCAATTAGTTGCTATTGCTGGTTTAGACTATGTGTTTCCAAACAGTTGAACATGTTATTCGGTGAACTTTGTGTTTATCTGAAATCTAACAGTAGTTGGAGCTTCATCAGAAACTTTATACACTAATACGCAATACCTGTAGAGTGTGCATATACTCGTATAATAATTGCAAGCGAATTGTTTCATGGTACTTACAGTATAATGTATTTAACAGAAACAATAAGTCATGGTATTATTTTATGTTACCTTTTATCATCAATTTGTAGAACATCTACACTTGTCAAAAACATACACATTTTCCTTATGATCTCCACTCGCTCTGACAAAGCCATAAACTTTGCAATCAGCGATAACCTATTAGCCTTAGGACTCCACGATCTGGCCGAATCAAACCAGATGTATGCTTCAATGAGTCGTATTCCATAAAAGAGAAGCATATCCTCGGCATAAGGTGTTGCTGCCGAGAAAAAGGTTAGAAGTATAAGAATACCCTTGTTTTCATATCATAATGATTACCTTATACTCGCGAGGATATCCTCAAAGACGAAGTAAACGTTGACCGGTATTTGTATCTTGAGCGACAGGTCCTGACTTGTTCCAGCTTGTAGTTGACGTGGGAGTTCGTTCACTTAGCATCACCGACAGTTGTACTCCAGAGCTTACACTGACCGTTCCGTATTTTTAATTTATGCAGTTTTTTATCAAATAATTAATAAGCATGTCATCCTCAAGTGATGAGGCAACTATAGAAATAATGCAACGACCTGAAGTTCATCGCAGATATATTCTGGAATCATGCACTGATCGAGGCCAACTGACATCAACACTTGTGAACATCTCTCTGGCCTCACAAGTGGATTGCACACTTAAAGTAGGTTTCCCTTTTCGGTTGATATACTCATCTCCATGGCGATTTCGTTTTCAGGATTTCCGATATGTGTACAATCAATTACACCAATTGGATTTCCTTCAAAATTTGCAAGTACAAGGATATCCTTCGTTTTATGAATCCGGCTCATTGTCTCTATATTGTAGAACGTATCGGTCACCATGGTGGCGTTTTTCAAGTACAACGACAATCAATGACGGTATATTTTTGTCTATCTGTATTCCAGGTGATAGTTCATTCATTATGTATTTCCTTCATTCCTACACAGTGTGCTGTGACAATTAGTCTAACCATATTAGACGAAAATACCGCTGGCTTGCGCAATAATTGTCTGGTTTTATTGCTGCAAGTTGTTCAAGAGGACATAGACGCATCAAAAAGGGTACACAAATTTTTACGTGAAAACCTTTTTATTTGACAACAAAGAATGAGAAAACGCGTTTTTTTGGGATTCAATCGAAAGTGATGGCAAGCAAGAACGAAACAACTCTTCATATAATATTTGTAAGTATTTATGAGGCTACAAAATGAGATTACACATAAAAAGAGGCGACCAATAGCAAGAGAGTTATGGCCGAAAATCGAGGTAAACTGCAGGTTTCGCCCTTGGTAATGAGGTTTTCTTTCTTCATGTTCGTAGAATTCGTACTTCATAATATCCATTGAGTAGATTGGTCAAGTAGTTTTTGAGAATTTCTAATTGTTTATCCCAAAACACCTGTCTTCCGGCAATCACTACTAGTTTATTGAGCAATATACAGGGTTAGTTCAGAGGCATTTTTATAGCAAAATACACTAGTTTACCCTGCCGATGTGAATCGCAAGCCACTCCGGAAGATAAATGTTATTTTTATGCAAAGAAGGATGGGTACGTTTTTTCTTCTAAACCAAATTCAAACATTTCGTATCTGTGAGTAATTCGCAACAAAAAGATGATAGATACATCCGCTTTGTTTTAAAATGTGTATAGTAACGCATTATTTTGAATATCGTAGTGCAAAGAATACAAAGTGATCTAGATATAATCATTCTACCGAAACATGGCAAGTGGGCGACTGTGACTCTGTTTCCTTTAGAAGGGTACAGATACTATTGTATAATTTTGGTAACATAATCAAAACGTGGAGAGTGATGGTGTTGTATGTACGAACAATCTACCTTATAACCATACCATATTTACAATCAACCAATGAACTAAAAGGTATCAAGCTAACAATGCAAATTGAAAATCGTAGTAGAGTCAAACATTACTTGTGTTTACCGACCACCATCTTCAGATCCTCATACATTTATAAGAGACATAGATGAACTATTAAAAAACAATGAAAACAATCACCTTCATAATCAAATATTTATAGGCGGACATCAATATAAACATTTTAGAGGAAAATTCTTATGGTGAAAAGATATTTAAACAGTTTATCAAGTAATGGTTTTTTTCATACATAAATAAAGTAACCACGACCCACCAGTAAAACCTGCATTGATCACTGCTTTATAAAGGATATTTCAATAATTTTTCTTACCTGCCTATTATCTATGAAACCGATATTACAGATCATTATTCCACTGTATTATTGATATCTTCACAAAATAAAAACCAGAACTGCCCAAGGACAAAAAGTGAAAGAAACCTTGAATACAAATATTCACTGACAACTCAAAATTAATATTTATCGCACAAACGGAATCGTGGACGAAATTTTTTTAACAAATTCTTTTAGACGAAGCTACAAATTTATTAATACACAAAAATTCTAAAAGTAATTGAAGTTAGTACTAATAAGGGTAAAATAGTCACAAGGAAGAAAGCAGAAATGATTGGATGACCAAACGACTAATAAAATCTGCAACGAAAAAGAAAGACTGTATAAAATCATGAAATATTTACCCACGAAAGAAAATATAGATCATTATATCAGTATAAAACAAATTTATAGAACTTTAAGAAAAGCAAAAAAAAATTACTATATAAAACAATGGAATAATAATTCACCTGACTCTAGGACACCTATGGTCCACTGTCAATGATATATTCAATAAGTCATTTCCCCTATTCCAAAAACAATATTAATGAAATAAAAACAAAAACAGGACAGAAAACAGACAATATTCAGCAAATATGTGATGAGTTCATAGAATTTTTCACGAATATAGGAGGAAACTTAGCAAATAATATCAAACAAAATGCTGATATTCATCTGCATGAAACAAGACTGAATAATTCATTTGTATTAACTGAAGTAGACTATCAGGATGTTTTCAATGCCATTATGACTCTAAAAAATAAAAAAAGCCCTGGATTGACGAAATTAGAGCTGAACATCTAAAGATACTGGCCAAACAAATAACAGAACCACTTGCTTATATCATTAACAAATCCTTCCAATCTGGAGTATTTCCATCAGCTTTCAAGACAGCAATCATCATACCTATCTATAAATCTAATGATAATACGGACGTCACTAACTATCGACCTATTTCACTTATATCAAGTTTAGCTAAATTTTTGAGAATTACTCCTTAATAAAATGATTAATTTTCTTAATAAATTCAAAATTCTAAATTCAAATCAATATGGTTTTTATAGCGGGCAAATCTACAACAGATGGGGTATTAAGTATAGTAGATGAAATAACCCCAAAATATAGATGGAAAAGTACCATCGATATGCGTATTTGTGACTTACAAAAAGCGTTTGACACAGTTAACCACAATATACTTTTGGAAATCTTAGAAAGAATAGGTTTTCGTGGATAGATGTATACTTTAATGGAAAAATTATTTATCAAATAGACCGCAATCAGTAAAATTATTAAGCTCGTATAGTAAAGAAATGTTTGTTAAATGTGGTGTTCCACAAGGTACAATTTTGGGTCCTCTGTTATTCAATATTTTATTTAAACGATATATTCAAAATTAACAGTACTGGTAAAATAGTCAGTTTTGCAGACGATACTGCTATACTCTATAAAGGTAAGGATTGAACGACCTAAAAGATATTATCCAAAATGACTTTTGCAAAATTATTCAGTGGTTTAATACCGAAAATTAACAATTAACTTTACTAAACTCATTCTTTACCATTTTCATCACTATCTAATCATCTACCAAAATATAACCACCTTCGGTTTAAGGTAATGCTTAAAAATATAAAATCAATAGAGTTAATGATACTAAATATTTAGGCATTATCTAGATCCCCACTTGAGATGGGATGTACATATTTCTCACATACTAAAGAAAATTAGATTCATAGATATAAAATAAATTTCTAACCGGTATATTAACTGAATATTATCTACGAATAATATATCAAGCTTTAGTCGAGGCCACACATAACATATGGTATTAGTAGTGTGGGGTGCTGCATGCACGACATACTTTAACGATCTAGATGACTTCAAAGAAGAATTTTAAAATCAGTGTTAGGCAAATCAAATTATACCCAAACTAATGACTTATATAATGATGCACAAGTATATGATACTAAACAACTTTACTGCTTACATAACCATCACTCATTATCACAAAACTATAGTGAACACGAAATAATAAACATAATCATAAAACCAGATATAAATTACGCGCAAAAAATGTTCCTAAACCAAACAAATCCCTAATGAAACGATGTCACCTATAATAGCTCCAAAATTGTACGAACATTTACCAAATAATGTAAAACAATTACGCAATACATTAGGCTTCAAAAAAAAATTAAAAAAATTTATTAACACGATTGGGAGAAATCAAATTAATAAAATAATCTCAAATATTACACAATAAATGCTCTACCATTCTTACCAATATTTCTTTTTCTCTATTTTATTATATTTGCAATTCAACATACATATGATCCATGCACAGGCGTTGTCCTCCTATGGATATATTATATTTATTTACTCGTTTCATGTTCCCTGTATTTTAGAGTAAATAAATATATTATTATTATTTGTTCAATTACTCACAAATTCGAAATGTTTGAATTTGTTTAGAAGAAGAAACAAACGTAACCACTGTTTTTCGTATAAAAATAACATTTATCTTTCGGAATGGTTTTTGATTCATATCGGCAAAGTAAACACGAATATGTTGCTATTAAATGTTCTTTGAACGAGCCCTGTATATTGCTCAATAAACTAGTAGTGATGGCCGGAAAATAGGTGTTTTGGGATAAACAATTATATTCTCAAAAAAACACTTGACCAATATACTCCAATTTTGTTGTTGTTATTTAGGAGTATCAATCCTACGTATTTGAAGAATTTCAAGTAGTTGCGTATCGTCGCATTACCAACAAGTGCTAAAACATTTTGCATTTTGCCTCGTTTTTCGGCCATAACATTTTTGCTATATGTAAGTCGGATCTTTTCACGTGCGGTCTCATTTTGTAAGTTTCATAAATACCTAAAAATCTTATTTGAAATTTATTTCGCTTCTGTCAAAACTTCCGACTGAATTCTAAAAAATACGTTTTTTCATTCTTTGTTGTCAAATAAAAAGTCCACAAAAATTGGTGTACCCATTTCATACGTCCATGTTTTAAATGCCCCCTTGAACAACTTGCA